TTGATGTTTAAATTACATGATGAAGTTGTTGAAGAAGTGGTAGAACAAATTTTTGTCCAAGTGGTAAAAGATAATGCTAGTGCATATAAGGGAACGAGAAGAAAATTGATGGAGAAAAGAAATCATTTGTATTCGACTCCATGTGCTGCTCACTGTATAGACTTGATGCTTGAAAAACTTGGGGAGTTGTCACAGCATAAGAATGCATTGTCAAAGGAAAAGAAGGTGAGAAATTTTATCTACTACCATACGTGGGTGTTAGCATTGATGAGGAAGTTCACAAATTTGGATATTGCTCGACCAGTTCCTACTAAATTTGCTATCGCATATTTGTCTTTACAAAGAATATTTATGCTAAAACAACCTTTGGAGTCCCTGTTTACTTCTGAGAAGTGGGCACAATCATCCTATGCTAATAAATCCGATGGTAAAGAAATCAGAAAAATCATTGTGAAAGATAAGTATTTTGGCCGAGGGTTTCATATGCCTTGAAGGCTACAAAGTATTTAATTTCAGTGTTAAGGCTTGTTGATTCTGAGCAGATGATTTTGGTTCTATCCATTCCACAAAGGAAGAGATAGCAAAAGATTTGGGTGGAAATGAAACGTTGTAGAAGGGGATCTGGAGTTTTATTATGAAAAATGGGATTTTCAACTTCATCAAAATCTGCATGCTGCTGTGTATTTTTTGAATCCCCATTTTCCATATAATGGTAACCTTTCCAATCATTCTGAAATCAGTCTAGGTTTATACGATTGCATGGAAAGACTCATTCCTCATCAAAATGAAAGGACATTTTCAACTTCATCAAAATCTGCATGCTGCTGTGTATTTTTTGAATCCCCATTTTCCATATAATGATAACCTTTGCAATCATTCTGAGTCTAGGTTTATACGATTTCACGGAAAGACTCATTCCTCATCAAAATGAAAGGACAATGCAAATCTCCTGATAGAATAAAAAATGTTTCTTAGGTCTTGAAAACGCTACATCATCTTGCAAAACGAAAGGACAATGCAATCATTCTGAAATCAGTCTAGGTTTATAAGATTTCATGGAAAGACTCATTCCTCATCAAAATGAAAGGACAATGCAAATTTCCTGATAGAATAAAAAATGTTTCTTAGGTCATGAAATCGCTACATCATCTTGCAAAAATGTCCACCATGTATGTATTTACTTTAAAGTCTTTTTTACCTCATATATACTCCTTAACATTATGGATATAGCCTAATATTTAATATGACATAGTATTTTTATTTATTTATTTTTTTTTAAATTCCACTGGTGGACTCAATTTGACGATGACACCCCATTATTGAAGAACTTTTCAATTAGTGTTTCGAGCCTAACATGTTCATTTTCTGCTTGTGAACACAATTGATTCAACCAAGTACACTAAAAAAAAAAGGAAGGAAACCTTTAGCCCACACAAAGGATGAATTCTTTGGTTTATGTCATGTACAACAAGGAGCTCAAAGATGAAAGTTCGAGATTACAGAAACTCAAAGAAGACAAGGATCCTTCTACTATGAGTGACTTGTCATTAGACGATGAATGGATTGT